AAATCATTCTATTATAAAGACACATGCACTGTTTACAATAGCAAAGACCTGGAAGCAACCCAAATGCCCACTGATGACAGACTGGACAAGGAAAATGTGTCACATATACACCATGGAATACTATGCAGCCATAAAAAACAGTAAGTTCACGTACTTTGCAGGGACATGGATGAATCTGGAAACCATCATTCTCAGCAAACTGACACAAGAACAGAAAATCAAACACTGCATGTTCTCACTCATAGGTGGGTGTTGAACAATGAGAACACATGGACACAGGGAAGGGAGTGTCACACACTGGTGTCTGTTGGGGGGGACTATGGGAGGGACAGTGGGGGATAGGGAGGTTGAGGAGAGATAACATGAGGAGAAATGTCAGATATAGGTGACAGATGGATGGAGGCAGCAAACCACATTGTCATGTATGTACCTATGCAACAATTCTGCATGATCTGCACATGTACCCCAGAATCTAAAGTACAATAAAATAAATATATATGTATATTAAAAGCTTAAATTCAAGTTCTAGAAAAAAGTCATTTGGACAGTTACTTATATTTTAACAAATAAGTATGTATGTCTATAAATCACGTACTTTAGAAAAGAGTAATTTTAAAAATACAGTTAACAGGAATTTTCTAAATAATAAACTTTGGTTTGGCAAAAATAGATAATTAATAAATGTATCAAGTACTAAGCTTTCTTTAAGACATCCTTCTCTACTTTTTACCAAGAAAGTTTTACAAAAACAGGTAAATAAATTTGAATATTTTTCCCTTTTCCTCAACTTGTCTTCAGAAATAGACGTTAATGAACTGTGAAATGGACATAAGTGGGCAAAAAAATGAGTTGAAATGACATATGAGCGTAAAATGGGCATAAATGGAAAAAAGGGTGAATTCAATGGTTTAACAGTTCCAAATTCCTTACCTGGGAACTATTTGCCTGATGACATCATCTTTAGAATGAAGCATATCAAAACCCAAATTTATTGCATTCTTTAAAAGTAGCTTTAAGTCATTAATGAAATAATTGTAAGGTTAATGAGTAATGAACTATAATTCTAAATTATGTGAGATAAAATATCTTTCTAATATGTTATTTAACAATTCATTTAGTAATATCAATTTTTGAACTTAAGTTGTACTTGAGCAGTAGAAAATACACAGTATAAAGCACAAGTCACAAAGATTGTGACATTCCAACTGAACTGCTAGAGAACCTATTTAACTTATGAATATCCAATTTTCATTAAACAAGGTGTTGCCAATTTAATGTACTCATTAGTTTGGTAATGCTTTTAATTCAAATTTTTAATGATTTAGAAATATAAAATTGTCTACATAATTTATACCATCTTAATTATCACTTTAAATTCATGTATCTAGTAGAGAATGTAAAAATACATTTTCAATACTTGCTCTTATCTATAAATGTTCATCAATTACTTTTCTACTTTATTTCTGTGGTGAGGCAGCAATATTTGAAAGTAATTCTAGTTCTAATGTCAGGCATAGCTTTGTGAGTAGCCAAATGGAGGAAGGGAATTAAAAGTCAAAAGGTATAACCTGAGACTCCAACCTTGAGAAGGTGTTCCTGGCATAGTGCATGATACTGTCAAAATCATATCTTTCTCCAAGTGAGTTTACTTCTCCCGGCTCCATCTTCAGAAAATTGTACTCTTGACCTAAGAACCAGGCATAAACAAAATCTCAGAAGCCTTTTAACTGACAGAAAAGAGACCAGAAGCCCTTTCCTACACCTGCATCTGCTTTTTGTGAAATGATCTTGCCGACTGAATTTACATACAAACACACAGGCACATACAAAAAGCATCTGTCTTCACTCTACCATCACATTGAAAAGCAATATTGAATTGGAACAAAGTGTTAACTTCTGCACAAAGGTGAACTACCAAAAAGCATATATTGACTTTGTTTGATATATATGCTCTTTTAACACCTCATAATATTTATTCCTCTAAAATCTTATTGCATTGTTGGTAATATAGAAATAATTATAAAACGTTACATTTTCATCTAACGAGTTTCCCATTTTTATGATTAGATTTGCCAGTTCCCACATCTTCCTATTTGGTTTAATTCATTTCTATGAAACAATGTAAAAAGATACAAAAACAATATTAGTATAAACAGAGCTCTGCAGGCTTTAGCTCCATGGCTTCATCACTCAAGATATAAAAATAGCAGCAAATTCTCTACTTTCATTTAAAAATTAAACGAGTTTATTCATGATGAAAAGGCAGTTCTACTTTGAATTTAAGAAGAACATGCTTGAGAACTTAAATTTTTTTAAATTTCCACACCTGTTAGTTTAACTTCTGGATATCTTCATTTTTCATAGATTTTTCAACTGCCTGTTTGTATCTGTATTGTAGAATTATTTCTCAAAATTTGAAAAGAACACAAACTTAAATTCAATGGTTCCAGAAAGGAGCATTCCTTCAAAGAGAGTTTAAGTTTTGGTGACTCAGTTTTCACAATTGAAGTAACTAAAGGTTGTGCAAATCATATCCCTTATGTAACAAAAAGCTTTGAAACATCAAAATATAAAGAAAGATAAGCTATTGGAATTCCAAATCCAATTCTGGACCTAAAAATGGAACTATTATGCCATTCATCCACCTAGGTTTTTATTCCAATTGCCATATTTCAATTAAATATAAAAGATCACATTAATAAGAGTTTTCCTTCAGTGATGTCTCATGTGTTAAAGGAAATCTGGGATATTCACCTGAAAATTAAGAATGAAGAATCAACCGGGAGTTAAAGAACCCAAGTCCCAGACCAAAGTGTTTTAGTCCTTCTTTTAATAAATTTACACAACTTAATTTAAAATTAACTAACCAAACCTTATAATGAAATATGTGCTCCACAAATCTCTGATAAGTCTATTTATGTTATGACCATTCTTGGGAAATATTCAACATTCTCTTCAACCCATGATAAAGGCAACTCTTAAAACTCTTGTCTCATAAGGAATCTGAAGTCTAGTATAACAAATCTATGATCAGATTTTCTAAAAGCTATGTATTTTATACTTATTAACCTGTAAGATTTCAATTCAGAGCATAATATGGGTCCAGATTCTCTAACTAAAACAAAATGTTCCATAAAAATTTCTGAAAGTAGAACATTAAGCAACTTTAGCGATACATTTTAATGCATCTAACTTGAGGACTTAACATCTATATGACACAATATTTTTTGTTAGTTAAAAACAACATAGCTGTACATAGTCCAAATAACATAAAATTAGACATATTTCATGAGAGAGGGAAAAAGAAACAAAATACATAGCACTAACAGAAATCACATTTGACAATTTTTAAAATGGCAGGCATCCTTCTTAAAAGCATATTCTAACATGGATTAGAGTAACCTAATCCTTGTATCAATTTGGTTCCTATCATGATCATTAATTTTGCATATAAATAAAAAGCCAAAGTTTGTGCTTATTAGACATCATCCTTGACTAAGACTTGATGTTAAGTACCTGAGTGACAGCAAATCATAAATCTATTGAAGATTACTCTCCAACATGAACACTTTCATACTGGAATTGCTCTGTTACAGTGGATCGCATTATGCAAGAAATCTCACTCAATCATTTCTTTTTTCTATTGGCCATAATGTTTAGTCAAAAGAAAATATTAAAAGCCATAATTTGCTTAGCACTGTTTTAGGATTATATGTTTATTTTTGCTACATATTATATACACTTTTTCCTTGTTTTTGATACACATTTATATTGAAACAAGGTCCTATTTTTAAGAGGAAGAAACATTTTTGAAAATTACATCTTTTATAAATTTTTTTCAGATAATACAATGTTTGGCAAATAGAGGGCACTAATAACTCTAGTTAACAGCCAACTTACCATTTATGTGGTAGTTGAAATAATTTTCAGATTTATTTTCTCTTTATTTCCCACCAAGTGATACACAGGATGAATCTGGATAGTCGACTTATACATTAGAGTCTTCTATATAGGGAAGTATACATTTTTTGTACTTATTTTTGATATCTAACTCTACAGATTACTTCATCCTTCTCAAAATTACTTATTTCCTTGGCTTCCAGGACACCACATTCCACTGATTTTTCTCTTACCTTTTAGGCAATACTTTCTTAGTCTTTTAGGACATACTCTACTAAATATTCCTTAAATACTGTTTTTACCCATTTTTTACCCTAGACCTTTTTTTTTCTTCTCCCTCCAGTTTTTCCCTAGTTAGTCAAATATATGCCAAATTTTTGTCTTTACATATTTTATCTCTAGATACATCCTGAAGTCGAGACTCACCTTTCCTTTCTCTTCAAAATAAGGATCATACAAAGCCTTTTAAAATATGAGGATATGTTAAATGGAATCATTAATTGCCTTTCTTTTTCTCAAAAACATGCTGCTTTATCAATATTTCAATATCTCAAAAGTTTCATGTGATGGTACTAACAGTCATCTTGTTGCCTAAAAAGAAAACTTTTGAAGATTTCCCCTTACATGATGATATTCCTCTTAAAATCTTTTTGAAAGGCTATTTCCTCTTCTTCCTCTTGACATGTGCTACCCTTACTAAGAACCTAGTCACCTCTCATGCCTACTCATGTAGGCTTCTATTAGGTTTCCCGGACTTCAGGCACATCCTGCCCCCCTTACACAGTTAATGATTGCTCTAAGACTGACTGTGAAAATGAGTTCTCTTTATTTTAATCTGAACTTTTCCTGCTTATAATCCTTCAAGTATTCCCCAGTAACTAGAGAATAAAACCCGAATTTTCTCCCAAGGTTTACATCATAGAGAACCTTCTCTAAGAAAATGATAAGATACGAACTAATCCCACACTTCTAATTTACCATCAACCATAATGGTAAGATAAAAATAATTCAGTTTTCTGTAATTACAGATTTGCTCATGAAGTTTTTTTAGCTTGAAATTTAATCACTCTTCTGTCCACCTGAAATATTTCTACTTAAGTTTTAAATTTCCATCCTTTACAATTCCCTTGACTCACTAAGGCACTATTTGTCATGCTTTGCTTGGACTCTACACTATTCTCAACATATATTACTAACTACTGTCACTTTCTCACTCACTTGCAATCATATATATATATATATATATATGCATATATCCCACCCTAAGCTTTGTATTTTTCATGACAGTATCTTCAACACCTGATATTGACCTCAAAAATAATTGGCACCAAATATATAATGAGCAAATAAAGAGATCAGTACTGTTACTTACAGAAGGAATTCACTCTTTATAACAAAACTGGTCATGAATAAAAATCAAAACACATTTTTACTTTGGATATGCTTAAAATACATGCATATACCTTACAAGAAAATTCCAAACAACAGAATATTTTTGGCAACTGAAATAAACTGATCTTTATGCACATAAAAGTTAAATAGAAAGTCTTACTATGAGGCTACTATCAAATATCAAGTATTGGGAGAAATATAGGTTTTAATTAGAAATTATATTTCAATTACTGAAAACTTTCCTAAAAATTTGTCTTTAGGGTAGTCAACTTTAAGTGGAAAATCTCAGGAAAAAAAAAAAAAACTATACTAGCTTAGAAATAACTCATTTCACTGAAATTTTCTCCAGAAATGGTACCTGGTAGATTCCTATGGTAGCAGCATGTTATATGGCAAACTCTGGGTTCTTTTAAAATCCCTATAACATAAATTATAGAACTAAGCACAAAAAATGCTTATGTAAAAAAGAAACATTTAATAATTTTAATTTATGGTTCAATAGCTCACACCCATACTTGGAAAGCACAGAAGCTTAGAAATAGAACAGCTAAACCTTATAAAGGAAAGCAAGTCCAGTAAATGCATGAACTCACACAGTCTCCAGGAAAAAAATTAAAATATAAAATCATCACAGGTAATTTTTAATCAAAGAAAATGTTACTCTGTTATATCAAAAATATAAGTTTACATTTTTGGGAAAGTGAAACAATTAACTGCATAACTATGATTCAAAGATACCCAGTCAGCCTTAAACCCAACACATCCTATGCCTCTCACCTGGTTGGATGTTTTCTCTTATGATAGTTACATGGTTATCTCGATCTGGTCGTGTGTGTTCATGCCAAAAGCCTATGACATGGCCCAATTCATGAACAACAATCCCAAATTTATCACAGTTCTTGCCGATGGAGATTGCCTGAGGTCCATTTCCCCGCCGACCTACATAAGAGCAGCATCTGGAATAAAAGAGAAAGTGGAGATGGTGGTGGAAAGGTTGTGCCAGGCAACTTAACAATATGGTAAATTTTTTGTAAATAATAGTGACGAGCTATAAAGTCCAATACATTCAGAGGCACAACAATCTTATTACTACATATGTCTAGTTTCTAGTAACCTTTCAAATTTAAGTATAACAAAAGTTTCCTTATAATCAGTTCAAGTGTTTTTGTAATTATCTATATATTAGAAATATGCTTACATCATTTTAGAAGCATTCAGAAATATGTCAGAAAAGAAAATAATTATGATGACAATTATATCATGATGATGATGTATTGCTGAAGACATATAATTAAGCTGAAGACATACTTACATATTTATTTCCAATATAATTTTATCCTCAGAATTCGTATTAATTACTAGGTTATTACTTTGTCGGTGTGGCTATCTGACAATAATTCAGCATCATTTCAATATTAAACATAAAATTAAAGAAAGTTTATTTTTCCTCTGAGAAAAACAGAATTAAGCTTATTTATGAAAGGTGTTGGTTAATCAAAAAAAGAAATTACTTTTTCTACTCATGGAAGAATATTTTCTGTAAAAGAAATGTTTCAAAGAAGTTAACTGAAGAAAATTATTTTTGGCTGGTTGCAGTTGCTCATGCCTGTAATCCTAGCACTTTGGAAGGCCAACCTGGGAGGACTGCTTGAGGTCAGGAGTTTGAGACCAGCTTAAGAAACATAGTAAGACCCCATCTCTACAAAAGATTCAAAAACTAGCTGGGCATGGTAGCGCAAGCCTGTAGTCCTAGCTACTTGAGAGGCTGAGGTGGAGGGATGACTTGAGCTCCCAGGAGTCTGAGTCTGCTGTGAGCTAGAATCATACTACAGCACTCCAGCCTGGACAAGAGAGCAAGATCCTGTGAAAGAAAGAAAAGAGGGAAGGGAAGAAGGGAAGGGAAGGGGAGGAGAGGGGAGGGGAGGGGAGGGGAGGGAGGAAGGAAGGAAGGAAGGCAGGAGAGAGAAAGAAAGAAAGAAAAAAAGAAGAAAGAAAGAAAGGAGAAAGAAAGAAAGAAAAAAAGAAAGAAGAAAAGAAAGAAAGAAAGAAAGAAAGAAAAAGAAAGAAAGAAAGAAAGAAAGAAAGAAAAAAAAGGGAAGGAAGGGAAGGAAGGACGGAAAGAAAAGAAAGAAAAAGAAAGAAAGAGAGAGAAAGAAAGAGAAAAGAAAATTATTTTCAAAAGATGAATTACCTTAAGTTAATGGTTAACCAGTGTTAGGAACTGGATACTTATGTCCCCCCAAATTTCATATGTTGAAACCTGATCTTCATGGTGATAGTATTTGAAGGCAGAGCCCTTGGAAGGTGATGAGGGGATCATGAGGGCTCTGCCTTTATAAAGAGATCAGTGCCTTTATAAAAGAGGCCCCAGAGAGCCCCCCTGATTCCATGTACCATGTGAGAGCACAGCAAAAACACATCTCACATCCATCTGTGCACCAGAGCAGGCCCTTACCAGACACCAATTCTGCAGTGCTCAGCCTCCAGAACTGAGAAATGAATGTCTGTTGTTTAAGACCCACCCAGTCTATGACATTCTAACAGCCTGATCAGACTGAGACAAGTAGTGACGAAAAATCAACAACTAGTAGTAGTTAAATGAATAATATTTATGTGATTTGTGTCAAATGAGCAATCTAATAATTTAGATTGATTTTTTATTTCATCATCTGAAAGAATCTTCTGGACTGTCTAACAGAATGTGGAACATCCAGGAATGTCTTTCTGGAAATTTTCATCAATTGATTGATATTTATACATAATCAACAATGTTTTTTTCCTTCCTTTCCCCTTTCTCCTTCTCCCTTCCCCCTTCCCCCTCCCCCTTCCCCCTCCCCCTCCCCTTCCCCCTTCCCCCTCCCCTCCCCCCCTCTCCTCCCCTCCCCTTCCCTCCCTCCCCTTCCCTTCCTTCTTTTGCTCTGTCACCAAGGCTGGAGTGCAGAGTCACGATCTCGGCTCACTGCAACCTTCACCTCTCAGGTTCAAGCGATTCTCCTGCCTCAGCCTCCTGAGTAGCTGGAATTACAGATGCCTGCCACCACACCTGGCTAATTTTTGTATTTTCAGTAGAGACAGAGTTTCACTGTGGTCATAAACTCCTGACCTCAGGTGATCAACCTGCCTCGGCCTCCCAAAGTGCTGGGATTACAGGCATGAGCCACTGTGCTCGGTCTCAATGATGTTTTTCTATCCAAAATTTAGAAGTTCCATTTAGTCACTGTGTGTGTATGCACGTGTACATGTGTCAGTGTGTGACAGTCCCAAATATTCTAGGGACACAGGGTGAGAGACTGAGCACACAAAATGCTCACTTTAAAATAATTTTTAAATGGCATAATATTATAGTAGCGAATTAAAATGACATCAATAGCACAGCAATAGAGGGCACTAAATAGGTGGCTTTGAATAGTTGGGATAATGATGCATCAGGCATTGCCAAACACCTTTTCTGATTTATTAAATTGAAAGAGCAAATTGTCGAAAACTGATTGACCGAATGATTAAAAGGAATTTCACTACTTCAGTTCCTGGGGTAAGTACATTTGACAGCCCTTTTGATTTTCTACAAATGTAAATCCTTATCTCCCTCTCACCCTACCCATTTTTTAATTTTCTAATTGTTTCTGTAGGCTGTAAACACCTAAGTATTTTCATCCATACTATACCAGTTAGATGAACAAATTTGTATTCATTATTAATAAATTTATTATAGCAGTTAACTGAGTTTAATAAATCAGTTATACAAAGAATACAGAGGTAACTGGTGGGTGAAAGAGGAATCAGTAAAGTTTGTTTTTACCCCAGGTCGGTTTTTTTTTAATAATGTGCTTTAATTCATATATAGGTACTTATTAAATATTCAAATATTTATTACATGCCCAAAAATGTATTAGATCCAGAAAAACACAAAATTTTCAAATTTTGGAGAGATTTAAACTAAAATAGTTGCTACCTTAAATCAACAGTAATGAAAAATTACCCATATTGAGTCATTCTTGCTGGTTTTATTCAGAGAATAAAGTTTTTTGCAAGTCAAAATGTGGTAGACAGTAAATCAGTGTGGTCAATTTATTTCCTCTAAAACATCATTTTTAGCACAATTGCACTCATAGCAATTTCCTATAAGATGGGGTTTTACAATGGAAAGAAAAAATAGACTTCACACTGCCTTATTCAGAGGTATTATTTTACAATCGTCCTGAGAATAAAACAAAAATGTGGTGTTTTGATCCCTAATTAAAGGTCTTGGGGAAAGATCAATTCTAGACTCTCAGATTAAGAAAATAACTACATATATGCTTAGACAAATATTAGTCATGGAACGAAAAGGGTAATGTGTAATTTTTAATGTGATTTTAAAATGTCTAAATATTATCTTAGTTTCTAATGTTATCCAGGTTTGATGCCATTTTATTGTATATGGCTGCTGGATTTTTGTTTCTCATTTGTGTGCCACTTTTAAAGTCTGGACATTTTAAGGTCTACCTGTGTAGCCTAACACAACCTTTCCCCATCAACAGAAAAGCCTAACTTCTCCATGAGTCATAGATGGTAATCAGGTAAATCAAAATATTCTACTTTCTACTTTTGCCTTGGGTTGGTAGACCAAAACCCCTTTGGAACAGTATTTGGTAGACCAAAACCCCTTTGGAATAAAACCCCTTTGGAAGCTAATCCATTAGATCATCCATGAAGGTAGAACTGGTTCTGCCTTTTCATGTGCTATATTTGAAATAGTTTCAAATCACCACATATCTTTTCATTAAAACAACTCGATTTCTTTTTTATTTTGATTTAATAGGTTTTCCAGGGCTGAGCATGGTGGCTCATGCCTGTCATACCAGAACTTTGGAAGGTTGAGTCAGGTGAATCGCTTGAGCCCAGGAGTTTCAGGCCACCCTGGGCAACAACTCAAAAAAAAAAAAAAATTTAGCCCGGGCGCGGTGGCTCACTCCTGTAATCCCAGCACTTTGGGAGGCCGAGGCAGGTGGATCACGAGGTCAAGAGATCGAGACCATCCTGGTCAACATGGTGAAACCCCGTCTCTACTAAAACTACAAAAAATTAGCTGGGCATGGTGGTGCGTGCCTGTAATCCCAGCTACTCAGGAGGCTGGGGCAGGAGAATTGCCTGAACCCAGGAGGCGGAGGTTGCGGTGAGCCGAGATCGCGCCATTGCACTCCAGCCTGGGTAACAAGAGCGAAACTCTATCTCAAAAAAAAAAAAAAAAAAAAATTTAAAAGTTAGCTGAACTTTGTAACTGATATGATTTAACTCTGTGTCCCAACACAAATCTCTTCTTAAATTGTAATCCCCACATGTCGAGGAAGGGGATCATGGGGGTGGTTTCCCTTATGCTGTTCTCAGGATAATGAGGGAGTTCTCAAGAAATCTGATAGTCTAAAAGTGACAGTTTCCCCTGCACTCTCTCTCCTGCTGCCTTGTAAAGAGGGTATTTTCTTCCTGCTTTGCCTTCTTCCATGATTGTAAGTTTCCTGAGGCCTCCTCAGCCATGCAGAACTGTGAGTCAATTAAACCTCTTTCTTTATAAACTACCCAGTCTCAGGTAGTTTTTTGTAGCAGTGTGAAAGCAGACTAATACAGAAAATTGGTAACGGGTAGAGCACCGCTATAAAAATACTGGAAAATGTGGAAGCGACTTTGGAACTGGGTAATGGGCAATGCTTGGTACAGTTGGAGGGGTCAGAAGAAGACAGAAAGATGTGGGAAAGTTTGGAACTTCCTAGAACTTCCTAGACAAAGACCTTCTAATAAATTATTTTTTTCTGCTTAAGCTAGCCAGTCTCTGTTGTTTGCAAAGAAGAATCCTGGCTAGCATACCTTCTCTGCCTAAATACATAACCTCCTTGAGGAGAGAAAACATCTTTGTTCAACTTTATATTCCCAAAAGTTAGTATGTAAGTAGGACTAAAGGAGAATTCCAACAAGTATAGGA